TAGAGTTATACAACATCTCTAGTAAATGTTTTTTTATATAGATTCCATCACCTCCCACCTGGTCCTGACCTCAATTGGAGGAGTTTCTGAGATCACAATTCAAGATGAGATTGGGGTGCAAACACCCCGAATCATCTTTTAGAGCCAAAGCATATCTTTCAGTGACATATCTAAAGATCAGTAATAAAGTTAATTACATGTAGCATTAGCATTGTTATATTCTGTAATGGTAAACTTCATTTCTCAAATACATAATTAAATGTAAGCTTTTATTTTTAATTAATAGAAATAACTATATATTTATGGAGAACAGATCATATAAATCTATTTTAATTTGATGTGAAATCTCTATATTGTTTTGAATATACTAATTACCATTACCATGCACATGGTGCAAGTGCTCTCTGTCCCCACTCTTACCCACACTTGCTATCTCTTTTTTTCTTTTTGGCAACAGCCATTCTAACTCATGTACAGTGTTATGCATGTGTGATTTTGTTTTGCATTTTTCTGAATGGCCAATAAGAGTAGGCATTTTTAACAAAAGAAACCTGTTGGCCATTCTGTTGTTTTGTCTGTTCTTTAATTGGATTTTTTTTTATATTGAGGTGGTTGTTTGTTTGTTGTTTTTAAGTTTCCTATATAGTCAGGATATTAACCCTTATCAGATGTAGGGTTTCAAAATGTTTTCTTTTCCTCTATGGGGTGTCTTTTACTCTGTTAACTGATTTTATTTTTATTTATTTCCATGTGCCATAGGCTTTTAAGTTTTATGTCATCTTATTTGCTATTTTTGCTATTGTCCTCAGAACTTTCAGAATCATATACAAAAAGTTCAGGAGTTTGAGACCAGTCTGACCAACATGCTGAAAGCCCATTACTTTTTTATATGATTTCAGAATCATGTACAAAAATCATGCCTTGCACAGACCAGTGTCAAGATAATGCTTTTCTATATGTTCTTCTAGTAATTTTATAGTTCGAATCTATGTTTAAGACATTAATCTCTTTTGAGTTGATTTTTTACAGGAGTTTTTTTGGGCAATTTTACTCTTCTACATGTAGGTGTCCATTTCTCTCAACACGTTTATTGACCACTGTTCGTTCTTCATGTGTGTCTGAGAAATACTTATAGAAAATGAAGAAAAATAAGTGTGTTTATTTTTGAGCTTTTCCCAGTTCACTGATCAATGTGTATGTTTCTATGTTAGTTTTGATTTTTCCTATTAATATATGTTTATATTGTATTTTGAAATAATATAGTTTGATCCTCAACTGTGTTCTGTTTACTTAAGACTATTCAGGGTACTTTTGTGTCTCCATACTATTTGAGGATGCCTTTTCATATTTCTGTGGAAAATATCAATAATATTTTCATAGCCATTGCATTGAGCTTGTAGAACACTTTAGCACAGATATTTTATCAATTTTAAGTCTCTCAATTTGTGACATTAAACATTTCTATATGATTTCCCACTTTTATCAATATTTTAGAGATTTTTAAAGTTCAGTTTTCACATCATTGGCGTGAGTTATTTCTATTTTCTTTCCTTTTAAAATATATTGTAAATATCATTGTCATTGTATTTTTTCAATAGCATATTATTATTGTACAGAAACATTACTTGTATTTTTTTAATGGAGCATCACTCTTGTTGCCCAGACTGGAATGCAGTGGCAGTCTTGGTTCACTGCAACGTCAACCTCCCAGGTTCAAGCAGTTCTCCTGCCTCAGCCTCCCAAGTAGCTGAGAATACAGGCATCTGACACCATGGCCATTTTTTTTTCTTCATATTTTTAGTAGAGATGGGGTTTTAGCATGTTGGGCAGACTGGTCTCAAACTTCTGACCTCACATGATGCACTGAACTTGGGCCTTTCAAAGTGTTGGGATTACAGGCATGAGCCACAGTGCCTGGCCTACTGATCTTTACATACTAAGGTTTTATCCTACAACTTCACTGAATTTGTTCATATGCATTCTAAGTTATTTTTAGTGGAGCTTTCAGTGATTTCTACACATATGACCATGTCATCAAGAAATACGACAATTTAACTTCTTCTTTTCCAAACTAGATGCTTTCCATTTCTTTCTCTTGCCTTTCTTATTAGAAGTTGAAGAACAGAAGGGCTTAGAATGCACATTGCTATTTAAAAATGTGTGCCATCTTCCCTCCAGCTCTCTTGCTTCTGCTCTCAACATGACATGCTTGTTCCGGCTTCACCTTCCACTGGCAGATGCCAGTGTCATGCTTATACAGCCTATAGAACCACATGCCCATTAAACCTCTGTTCTTTTATAAATAGCCCAGCCTCAGGCATTTTTTATAAGCATGCAAGATGGGCCTAGTACATATACATTTATGTATACTAAATGCCATATATATCCTGTTGGTTCTGTTTCTCTGTAGAATCCAGACTAATCCAAGCACAATGCTAATGCCCCAATCATCTCTACCATTAACCTAGAACAGGTGTCTTCCTGCCTAGGCAGAGCCATGGGTGGGCTCTGAGGCTTGGCAAGATGTCTGGTTAGGGATGTAAGTGAATTAGAAATACCAACTGCGCTTCTGTGAGTCATCAGCTCAGTTCTGTAGGTTGGCTATGCTACTGGCTGATCAGATAGCAGCCATTAGAGATAGAATCACAATAGTACCACAAACATCTACACACTGGTTGCACTGTGCACTTAAAAATGATTAAGTATAATCCCAATTACATGGCCATTACACATTGTATGCCTGTATCCAAGTATGACATGGACTTTCTAGTAAATCAGAGTGTCCATTAGTTGCTTAGCAGATACTGACACCATAATCGGATGCTTCTCATTGGCAACCTGGGTACAATTCAGCAAGTGTGTGCACATGTGCAGAGAAAAACTAAGAAAAAAAAAGCAGATGGGTGGATGATATTTCTATTAGGGAGTCATAGCTGTGGGAAATAAACCCTTTTTCAGAGGAGACACTGAAGAGGAATGATGGGCAGATACAGGAGAAGCAAACTACTTGGGCTGTGAGTTTGAGAAACTGTGAATGGTGTCAATGCAGTTTCAGGAACGATGGTGATCTAAAGCATGATTATAGAAATACAGTGTGTATACTTTAGCAGAAATAAAATAGAAAAATTATGAAAATTCCCAAAACAAGCAACTGAAAAATGATAAGTGAATTACCCTGATTTGATCACTACACATTGTATCCATGTATCAAAATGTAGGAAACACATGGATATATAAAATTATGTCAAATTTTTTAAAGACATTTATACTCTACTGTGTTAAATTAGAAGATTTTGGAGGTCTGATAGCAGAGAAAGAGGGCAGAAAAATAAACACAGTGGACAGAGGCTGGTGTCTTGGATACTGAATAATAGTAATGATGAAAAACTGCCATGGAGGGAAAAAGTCTCTGCACTTGAAATAAACACCTGTCATCAACACTAAGTATCTTGAATTTCTAAAGCAACTTCTGTTCCGTTACACTGTCCTCCTAGAAATAAAAATACGAATGAAAAAACGGAGCCCAAATAACTGGTTATTTAAGAAGGAGGTTGCCAAATCGTACTGTGCTAAGAATCTGAAGCTAGCCCTGAAGGGGTACAGACAAGCAGCACTATAAGTCAGGTCAGGTTTGGGGATGCATTTGGGCTATTCCTGATACCCAGGGTGAGTGGAGAATAAATATATTCCTATGTTGAAGAGAGAAATGAAGTCTTATTGGTACAACAGTATGAGTGGTAAACTCCTGGCATCCTGTGCTGGTAACAGTGCAGGAAGGCACAGATAGGGAGGTGACCAAAAAGACTGGTGCCTTTAACTATTTGGAGATCTCAGTCAGGGATAATGGCTGAGTGTGGGGTCTAAAGCTCTTGTTAGGGCCAGCACTGAGACTCCACTGATAAAACCACCCTTACCTTCCACATCTTGGTCTTTCCTTGACAGTGATAAGCCTGAAAATTCTGAAGACAGTAAAAGATCTAGGGTTGAGAGAAACAGTGTGGAGCTAGAAAAGGTTTATCTTCCACAGCTATTCGCAGTAAAATAATTTTTAAAAATACATATAGAATGTCTTAAGGCACTGGCATTTATCATTCCAACAAAATATATGTTGCTCGTACAAGGAGAAGCATAGTCATCAAAGCTTGGCCAGAAACTAAAAGCATCAAGTAACATGACATAAGACCAAGCCCAAGCAGGGGGGAAAAAAAAAGCTTTCAAGCAGCTAACAAAAATGCTCACATAATAAATGGCAAAAACCAGAGTAACTTCTGCTCCATCCTAATAATAGGTTGCATATGCAAGCTCACTATGGACCAAGTACTAAGCACTTGACAGACACTAAATCCCTTTATTTCTTCTAGCAATCCTTTGTGTATACTTTAAACATCTGAAATTGGAGGAGAAAAACAAGTTAACACAGGTTATATACATTGGGAAAAGTTAGCATTCACAGTTAAAATAATCCAGGTCCAGAATCTCTACAACTTCACAGAATCCACTACAGCACGCAGTTTGAAGTTGGAATAAAAATACTAGAATTGCAAACAGATTTAACACATGGGATAAAAGTAGATATGCTCTACAGCCTTGCTAGTGTCTTCACTTTTCTCTTAAGAGGACAAAAAGGAAAGTGAGTAAGCCCAACTTTAATCTTCTCTGCCTTAAACCTTGGATTCTGGGCATGTTCCATAAAGGGTGGGGTTGGACCTTTTGGATTGAATATCATCTTGATTTATGAAGCTGCAGAAAAGCCCACTCCTTCTGAGAGATGACAGGATAATGGCCTTTGACAAAACAATAACATGCCACATTTAGATAACTCTTTATTATGAATTCCAATGACAAAGTGTAGGATGCAGCAGCAAAACACATTCTCAGAAGAAAGTAAAACATGTATGTCTAGCTGGGCTCAGCTTCTGTCACAACTAGAAGGAATGTGCAAACAGGTTGTTGAGAGGACCCTTGGATAAAGGCATAGCCAGGAGTCAGTGGGTAATGTATCATACGTAAGGGAGCTCGATGTCTTCACCACTCTCGTCACTGCTGCACATCTCAAGCACCAGGGTCCACACATGGCGGCTCAGTTTTCGCTTTGACACGCAGCTCACAAGCTCTGTCATCCTAAGGTAGACAGCAGAGAGTCAAGAAGGCAGAAAAAAAGAGGAAGAACATATGGGGCAAAGAAGTCAGGAAAGAAAATAGCCATTGTGTGTTCTCATCCCTATCCTGCCCAGCAGCCAACTCACGGCTGATCCAATCGTTCCTTAAGCTTGGTAGCTGGCATGAACAAGGAATACAGCATAGATACACCCTGTGACAGCATGGTAATTTCTAATTTGTGCTCCGTCTGGAGAGGATAGGAAGAGATTTGGAGAACAGAGTTAGTGAGACGGACAGTACTGGTCACCTGCCAAACCACCATCTTCTGCAGTGTGGAGTGAGAGAGGAAGTGGTCTTACCTTTAAGTAGGCTAAAAACTGCTTGAGGGTCATCTCTTTATCATTAGGTTGTATGCCTTGTACATCAAAGCAATACCACAGTGTCCACTCTTGGTTATAGTACTGAGGGACAAAGGTCAGGGGAGTAGAACAGGGGCCATCCCATACAACCCTATCACTCAACCTGACATGTCCATTCAGACTGATGACAACCTTGTTTTGTTGAAAACCATCTCACAGGCTCATTTCATTTTAATCAAGCCCCTGAAAACTTTAATCAAAATGATGAGGACTAGAGCTGGCTGTATATGCAAAGTTACACACATATATCGCCTCCCCACATTGTACAGTCTCACGGATATCATTAGCATTCATGAATGTTGACCATACCTGGTGATGGGGTGGGGCAAGGGGCTCAGAGAAGCTGAAGAAGGGCATGGCCAAGTTGATGAAGCTATTCTTATAGGACTGAAGCTTTCCGTGTCCCTGTACCACTTTGTATAGCTCCAGGCAGGCAAGGCCAACAATAGCTGCTGTGGTTGTTGCAATCGCTGGAATGATTTTTCCTGCAATCAGCTTACTCCGTGGGACAGAATTTGAACAACACAGATAGTTAGTGAGGGGATCAATCTACAGAATTGGTCAAATGTGGGAGACTGAAACATGAGTAAACAAAGGTGGAAGCTTAGGTTTATACCACCACTACCTTATGCCGGTCTGCAGGGGGAATATCATAGTTCTCTGCCCGGAGGTTAGATGCGGCCATAATGAAATCCATATGGAAGTTGCTGTCATCATCTTGTTGTGAGTTGAGGGCAGTCAAAATAAGAAAATATTTCCCAGCTACTGGGACACAGTATCTTTCACCCAGTTACCCGCAGATCTCCCTAGTTGCCAGAAAATGTTTTCCTCCTCTGACCCTCTCTTCACTGTCTTCCCTCCCTCTGTAATCCTAATAAAGGCCCAGGCCTGTACCACTGTCTTGCCCAAGACCCCAATCCAGCACCTTCTCAAAATCAATGGGATACATCTTGAATCCAGCAAGTTTGTCTGGACTAGGAAGCATGGACTTCAGCTCCTCTAAGCGGCCGTCATCTGAAGGAAGAGGGAAAACATTATCAGCCTTTTAGATATCAAGTCAGTGTCTGATGTAAAGAGAGGAGCCCAGACTAAGGCAGAAAGTATTCAGGCAGATAAGAATTTGAAAAGAATCTATGTCCTGGGAAAGAGTGGACAAAGCAGAGGTAGAACTGGCATCACCACCCCAAATCAGAGAAAGAGGCACACATGGGTGAGGAACAGAAAAGAATAACTCTGCATATACTGAGGAATGGAGATGAAGACAGTGTGGAGGGATGTACCTTGCAGCACTATTCAAAACAGCCAAAATACAGAAGCAATCCAAATGTCCACAGATAAACAAATGGATAAACAAAATGTGGTATGTGTGTCCATGCAATGCACCGTTCTCTTTGCACTTAAAAGAAAGGAAATTCCAAGACGTGACAACATGAACATTATGCTAAACGAAATAAAAAGACAAATAATGTATGATTTCAGTTACATGAAATGCCTAGTGTAATCAAACTCACAGAAACAGAAAGAGTTTCCGGAAAGTATGGGGAAAGGAAAACGAGACGTTTGAAATATGAGTACAAAGTTCTAAGGGTCCAAGATGAAAAGGTTCTAGATTTGCTACACTACAGTGTAAATATATATTAACGCCACTGAACAGAAAACTCGGAGGTGATTAAGATGATACAGCTGCATTTTGATGACAGTAAAAAGACGTAAGAGAAATCAAAATGAGACAGTGATCTTGAGGAAGAATGATGTAGAAGTAAACGAGGAAATGGTGCAGGAACACGAGACACAGAGTTGGGGAAAAGGGACACACTGACAGGAATTGTGGACAAATTCATAGACAAAACAGAGGATAAATTTTGTGTGAAATAAGTTGAAGGAAACATCGAGAGGGAGACACAGGGACAGAACTGGAGAGATAAGACTATGTGTAGAGGGTAACATGGAAAAATACCTGCAGAAAAGGTATCTGGAGAGACCTATACAACTAGAAGGAGTCTGCAGAGAGGAACAGGAGCAGGTATACATTTGAAAAGGAAAGAACATAAGGTAGAAAGATAAATTCAGAGACAGAATGATAGAGGGATGAGACAAAGATCACGAACAGGGAGAGGCAGAGGAAAGTAAGAGCTGAAGTTGTCAGATGGAGATCTTCTAAGGAAGATGGGAGGACAAATGAAGGGCAAGAGTATAGGGTAAATATGCACTCAGAGAAGTTGGGGCTAGATATATGGATGGGGACATAGGGGAGACATGAAAGCAGGCTGAAGCTGCTTACAGATCAAGTGAGACAGAGAACTAGTGGAGACCATACCTCTTTGCCTCCTAAACAAAGAGATCTATAAAAAACAGATGAAAGGAGAACAAGTAAGGCAAACATGCATAAGGAAAAGGATATACTAGTTTTCCTGATAGCAAGGCTATAAAGAAGAAAGGAATGAGAGAAGAATCCTATATTTCAAATATAGGATGTGAAGCTGAAAGGATGTGCACTGGTAAATCTCAAATCTACTGTCACAGATGATGGCCAGTGGCAAAAGACTAATGGGGAAGCTAAGCTGGACTGGGTACAAACTCATGACCAAATGGCCAAATACACTCACCAACAGAGGCACCGATGCTTTGCAGCTCCTGGTCAGAAATGTGGATCTTGACACCAGACTTGGGAATGAATTTGAGGACCTGCATAAACTGCAGCAATGTAACCATAGCAGCTCGCTCCAGAGAGCCTATCAGTCCATAAGTCTGGGCAAACAGGTTGGCAGCAGCCATCACATAGTCCAGGTGCAAGGCCTGGGAGAGGGAAGAGCAGGGAAGGGTAAACACATCAGTGTTCAAGTGAAGTGTCTACTGACTTCCATTCCCCCAGCCTCCACCTGACCCTAATAGACTCAAGTTGCTGACATCAAAGTTAAGTGGGCGAGGACAGCGTTTGGGCCCAGACCAGAATGGGGCACCAGAGCTTGCAAGTTGAAAGGATAAAACATTTTGCAGGATTGAGACCAGAAAGAAGAGGGCTCTCTGGCACTTCTTACCTGAAGTCTCAAAAGACTAAACTCATTATCCCTGGAAACTCATGTTGTACCAAACACAGCACTTAATCTCTTAAGGGTTGTCAAGCACTTTACTAACTGTAATATCCACAGACAAATTAATCTTCACCAAATTCTTACCAGATAAGCATTATTACCTATACGCAGATGAGATTCCTGAAGAAAAAAATATATATGATTTGCCTTAGTGTCACACAGAGCTGGCACTTGCACTCTTATCTCCAAAATGTCTCCCCTAGGATAATCTCTACAGCTTTACGGGGAATCAGATTTGACTCAGCCTGCACCATAGGAGAAGAGAAGGGACCAAGTCTCTGGGCTGAAAGAAAAGGAACAGAGCAAAAACAGGTGTCTGCAGAAAGCACTGGCCTTATCACTTTTCTGAGCCCCATACCTTAAGGTGCCTGTGACACCTGCCTTAACTAGAATGAACCATGTCCAAAGTCTCCAGTAAACTCCACATTTCCAGAAAGTGTATTCTGCCAAATAGACACTGGAAGCATGCTATACCTGGTCGGGAGGAAAGTTGTGCAGCAGCTGCTGGATGTTGTGAGAATACTGGGTGTGCCACTGGCGGCAGGCCCAGGTCACACAATCAGCCCAAGTCTCTGGTCTCTGCAGCACCAGGCGGCGCTGCACATTCTCCAGCAACTCCAAGGGTTGGGTGCCTGCCAGCCGCAGTGTCTGCTCCATAAACTTGGGGTTTCTATGAGGCAAACATCGGGACTAATCAATAGCCTTAGGAGTAGTCTTCATGGAAATTGCACTGTCTTCATGGAAAGCTACATCTGACCCCCCCATTGGAGAGAACAGACAGGAAGACATGCCACCTCCCCACGTAGACAAATACACAACTCTGACCCTGGAATCACCTGCCTCATTCATTCATTCAGAGTGAGCCTGACAGAGAGTATTACGAGTTGTTAGCAAATTAGACAAGATGCTTTGCCTTGGCTGGCAGGCAGGGGATAGGGAGAGGGGGCATTTGAGTTATTCACGTGAGGTACTGGTTGACGTTTTCTGTAGGCTGCTTGAAGAGGCTTTCAAACTCATCTCGAGCCCACTATAAGCAGGGCAGATAAAATTACAATGGTAGACAAAATGAGGCTCTATAAGCAGTAGAAATACCATCAGTAAAATAGAGCAAGCAGGAAGAGACAAGTGCTCTGGGAGAATAGAAGAGAAAAGCCTCCCAAATGGGAGGCCTGCCCAAATTTCTCCATCTTCCCACCTCAAACTTAAAAACTAATGGCCTTGATCTGCACAGTGTTTACATAGTACACAGGCATGGAAACTTATTTTTAAATAAGATGTGCAATAATCTCTTTTGAGTATTTCTGAGAGTACTGCACATCTCTTTTGAGACTATTGCACATCTTACTTAAAAAATCAACTGAAGAGAACAAGGATGATCCTCCTACAGATTTTTGGGACTGGGGAGAAAACAAGACAGATAAGGATTGTGCTTATTTTTGCCCTCTGAGCCTTGGAAAGGCAGTCAATAAGTCATTGATGAAGTTGCCTGGGGCACCCTGAGAATGGGCATTTAGTTTCGACTTCAGATCTGCTAAACACAACCACCTTTTGTGACTTCAGGCACAGAGGGTAGTATTTCAAAACATACACTGTAACACTAAAATCTGCACCTCATGACATTTCTATAAAGGAATGAGCAAATACATAAATTATAAAGTATAGGTAAAATAGTGCTAAGTACATACCAAGTGCTAAGTGCTTTATAAAAGCCCTTTGAGAGATATTATCATCATGCACATTTTACAGCAAGAACTCTGAGGCATGGAGAAATTAAGTCCAAGGTTATGAAGCAAATCTATTTTAAAACCTTTTAATGGGCCTCCCTGCATGTTAGGCAAAGAGTAGAATATCACATCCTAGTAAAAGTTATGTACACATTCACATATTTAGGTAGGGGAGAGAGAGAGAGACAGTGGTGACAACACAAACATATTCATTCTGTACCTGCCTGGTTGAAATGAGAATTAGTTTTTTCTCCCTCTCTGCATCCCATCTTTATAATCCCCCTAGTCATAGACTCAAACATAACACTGAGACTAAGTCTGAAAATGTAATGGTTATTCTTGGGCTGAAAGGGTAGTTAATTAGGATTAGGTATTCTAGGTGTCAATTATCCAGGTGTGTTCACTTTACCTAACTAGGTAATATATGACTTGTTCTGTTAAGAGAGAAACAGAACCATCCTAACAAGCCAGCTGTTAAACACATTTTGGGCAAAAATCGGGAAAATACAATTATCAATTCATGTTTTAGAGGTAATTTTAAAAACTAGAATATAAATAAATAAATTTTGTGCACAAGCAGTTATGTTTACACTTTTTACATAATGATAAATTATATTCTATTTCTACTTTTTACATAATGATAAGTTACATTCTATACTCATATAAAGATGTTTTGCCTTGCATAAAGATGCTCTTCCAAAATAAAAATTTTGAAGTATGAGACAAAAAGAAATGAATCACTTTTACAAACTTAGGCTGCTGAGTCTAAGAAAAGGAAAGAATTTTGGAGAAAATACACAAGCTATGCTATGGCTTTCAACACTTAAATGACAGAGGCTTCACCACCCAGAGGCCACCTATCTAGGTGCCTGTCTCCCCACCTTCTGTTACCCCTAAGGCTGATTACCTGCAGGGTATGCTCAGTAGCATTGTGGAAGCTCTTTAGTGTACAGATGGGGATGGATTTCTCAGGGGAGTCCTGGCTAGAGCTGTAAGACTCTGTCAGCAAGGGAATCACCACCTGCACACTGCCCTTGGTGCCCAGTGTTCCAGACTCCAGTAGCGGCTTTCAGTAATACACGCAGTGGCTGTCCATGTACAAGCCTTGGAGAAGTGATGGAAGTGGCATTAGAAATGGGAGACAGACAGGAACATCAGCAACCTGCAATATTCATATTCACAACTCTGCCCTCTTCCTCACCCACCCGCAAACTCACGGGCATCCACATTGTCCAGAGCATTGACCACACCATCCAGGTTTTAGAAGAAGTCATCATCGTAGATACATTCTGTTTCAGGATCCACATTATTCTGGTGGCTCCTTACCCTGACGTGTGGATTTATTTGATGCACAGCTGCAGCAGCTGTGTCAGACTTGAATTTCTGGAGGCAGATGGGGAAACAAAGCTGTTAAGCACAAATCAGCCCAACAAATCTATATAGGGCCAACATGAAAAGACCTAAACAGAGTTCAGAGGGCTGCTGTTTGGCCAAAAGGAAGCCCATGAAGATGCCATGTGGCTGGGGCTGTGACAAATGAGGCTGAAAAAAAACAAAACAAAAAAACTGACACAAAAATAATCGATGAGGTTATCCGTTAATTCACGTATACGTATTTTTTTTGTTTTGTTGAGATGGAATTTTGCTTTTGTTGCCCAGGGTGGAGTGCGATGGTGCAAACCACTCATCACGACTTCTGCCTCCTAGGTACAAACCATTTTCCTGGCTTAGCCTCCTGAGCATCTGGAATTACAGGCACATGCCACCACACCTGGCTAATTTTCTAATTTTAGTAGAGAAGGAGGTTTCTCCATGTTGGCCAGGTTGGTCTCAACCTCCCGACCTGAGGTGATCCAGCCCACCTTGGCTTCCCAAAGTGCTAGAATTATAGGCCTGAGCCAGCGCACCCAGCCCCAACATCTAATTATTTTTAAGTTAATGACACCTGAAGTTGGGACACATACATCAAAATAAAACCAAGGTTTTATGTACACCAAGTGGTACAAGAACAAAAAGGGTTTCATCAAAGCTCAACTCACATTCCTGTTCTGCTCAAAACTCTCCACTGGCTTCTAATTTCAGTTGGAGTAAAATAAGTGTGTTCCCTTCCATATGAACTCTGTTACTAAACACCACAGGCATATTTCAGCTCGAAGTCTTGCTCAGGCCCTTACTTTGCCTGGTACACTTTTCCTATGGTGTTCCACTGATTCTCCTACATTCTCTTAAGTCTTTGCAGAAATGCCAACTTTCCAACGAGGCCTTCCTTATCCTACCCTGCAAAGCAATATCTATGGCACTTCCAACTGCCTCTTAGTTTGTTTTTCATCATTAGTACTTCTCACATTCTAACAGCAACTGTATCTTTTGCTACTCTATTTGCTTATGACAGCAGTTGTTAAACACAGGGGTCTATAAAAATATCTTTAAAATAACCTGTTATATAGGCAGCAGATATCATTGTTTTCCAAGTTAGAAATTTAAATTGAGGTCATTCAAAATCAGTCCATTTCAAAGTGCAATATGGCCATTATGTGCAATACAAACATTATTATAAAACATTTCCAATATAGAAGTTCAGGAATAATCATTCAGTAATAACACCCCATGTTCTCAATCATAAGTAGAAGCTGAACAATTAGAACACACGGACACAGGAAGGGGAGCATCGCCCACTGGGACCTATTGCTGGTTGGGGCGTTATGGAAGGGATAGCTTTAGACAAATACCTAATGTAGACGACAGGATGATGTGTGCAGCAAATAACCATGGCACATGTACGTATATGTAACAAGCTTGTACGTTCTGCACATGTACCTCAGTCTTCTAATAACAATGAAACCAAAAGAAACATAAATAGGCAGCTAAAGACTAAAAAACTAGCTTCAGTAACAAGAGTCACATTATACTGGATTTTGCAAATCTCTTTTTAAGTTATGTAGCCTCATAAAGACAGCTGGATTCTCATATCCACTACATTCAGTCTGCTATGTATTTTGCTAAAGGATATATGGGAAACAACACATAAAAACATTTTCATAATCCTTAATTGCATTATCAGTGTCTAGCGATTTGTTGAGCATTCTAAATTAATCTATAAACAACAATTTTCTGTTTGTTTGTTTTAAGACAGAGTTTTGCTCTTGTCACCCAGGCTGGAGTGCAATGGCACCATTTCAGCCTACCGCAAACTCCGCCTCCTGAGTTCAAGCAATTCTTCTGTCTCAGCAGCCCAAGCAGCTGGGATTACCAGGGCCTGCTACCATGCCTGGCTAATTTTTGTACTTTTAGTAGAGATGGGATTTCACCATGTTGGCCAGGCTGTTCTCAAACTCCTGACCTCAGGTGATCCATCCACCTCAGCCTCCCAAACTGCTAGGATTACAGGTGTGAAACACCATGCCTGGCCAAGAATAACATTTTATCATCAAGCACTGGCCATTTGGAAAATGCTCATTTCAGTGAGTTCACAGGGGCTTCCTAAACTAAAATCTGATCTTTACCTGATAAAGGAAGAAGGAAGATGGCAAATAATGTCTTGGTATTCTTAATATAATTGTGATCACATAGGCTCAAAAAGAGTTTGAAGGACCTCTAGAGGACATGGGACTGCATTCTGAGACATCTCTGCATCTTCCCACTAGACAAGGACAGGAACCCTTCTTTTGCTACCTCTGATGAATTTCAAATGTCTAAAGTAGTATTTAGTATGTTGGGTATAAAAAGAATGAGGGATTGTAAGCAGGCGAAATTCACAATGACCTTTACAGGAAGCTTTCTAGATAATCCCTTTATAACCCAACTTCAGTTTCAAAATTAACAGTGACTCCCAACAGACACAAAATAATTGCAGATTTATGAAAAATACCAATGAAAGAACACACAAGGTATTCAACACATGTTGAATGAAAAAGTAACGAGAAAATAGCTGAAAGACAGTGACAAAAAGACCTGGGTCATTAAGATCCAAAATGAGAGAGAGAGAGTAGAGAAGTGAGAGAAACTCTGACTCTGCCCTACTCACCGAGACATCCCAGGGTCGAAAGAGAAACTGTCGGTTCAGATTGGACTTCTTGATGGTGTCCATGTCTGTAACAGTTATTTCACCACCCTCCCCACAACCTAGCCCAATCATGGCAAAATTCTTGAGGAGCTCATAGCCAATGGCCCCAGCACCCACCTGAAAGACAGCAAATAAGGGACACCTCATCAGAGTGACTAGGTACAGTGCAGAGTCACCCAACACTCCACACTCTTCCTGAATATAGGAAGAGAAGATACGACAGCCTACTGCCACACATTCAGCTCCAGGGCCATTAAGCCTTTCATTATCTGAGGAAGGAGGCACCAGGTGAGAGAAGTAAAGGCATACATTAAGCTTTCATTCAATATACAGAAAATGGAAAGGGGGATGTAGTTAGCTTTCAAGAACCAAAAGACACTCTGGTGGGAGGCAGAAAATTGAGATCCCAGAGGAGGTGGCCAGAAGACAGAGAGGTGAAAGTAACAGATGTCCAACAGGGGCATTCACCAGGAAGTACTTCTGTTTGGCCAGCTTCTCTTGCAGGTCTGAGCCAAACACAGCCACCTGTCCATCATAACCATTCTGGTGCTGTCATGTGAAAAGAGGAAGGTCAGAGAGGAGTTGCCTTAGACATGCTCCCAGTGCCTTTCCCATGAGCCCCCACCTATGTACCGGGAGATACTGGTCTTCCATGAAGTCTACTTTCTCCTCAGGGAGACACTCAAGGGCATCAAAGTACAGCCACTGTGTGATTGGCATAAACTTTCCAGAGCAGGCCTGAGGGAGAATGATCAGTGGTTAGTCACAGCCTAAAACAAATGGACAACAAAAGTGATAAACTCAAGGAAGCACCTGGACCACACCCAGACATGCCCTTTCCCACCCCTGCTAACCTTCATAAACTCCTGGGCAGCCAGCCTCCAGTGAAGGCATTTATAGGTGCCAAATCCCCAGCAGCAACATATGCCAGTTTCTGGATGAGGTCCTCATCCAGGCTGCCTTGCTTCACTGCTGGCAAGGCTTGAGCATTCACAGCCTGTGCCAGAGTCACCAGTTCTGCTGCATCTTCCTGTTGGGCCAGAGGAAGCCAAAAGAGGTCTTTTTAGGGAAAAGGTAGAAGAGAGGGACAAAGTAAGGATGAGTAGGAGGAGGAGAAGAAGAAGAGGTGGAGGATGAGGAGGAAGAGGAGGAGAAGGAGGAGGAAGAAGAGGAGGGGAAAGAAGAAGAGTAGGAAGAGGAGAAGAGGAGGAAGAAGAAAAGGAAGAAGAGGAAGGAGGAGAAGGAGAAGAGGAAAAGTAAGAAGAAGAGGTGGAATAAATGTAAGAAGAGGAAGAGGAGGAAGAAGAAGAATGGGAAGGAGAAGAGGAAGAGAAAGAAGAGGAGAAGAAGTGGAAGAAGAAATGTAAGAAGAGGAAGAATAAAGAGGAGGAGGAGAAGAGGAAGGAGGAAGAGAAGAGGAGGAAGAAGAGGAAAAAGGAGGAGTAGGAGGAGGAGAAGAAAAGGAAGAGGAAGAAGAATGAAGAGGATAAGTGGGAGGACCAGTGGGAGCAGCGGTATCAGCAGACAGATGGAGAGGTAGGACAGGCTTCAGGACAAGTACCCTGGTTTGCTGGCCCACTCACATACCTTGTTGTGGGGACGAGGTGGCCTGCTATGTTGAGTACAGAACTGATGCAGTGCCTGGAAGCCAATATGTAGATGAGCAGGGCGAGAATACTTCGCATAGTCTGTTATCACAAAGTCTGGCTCTGCCAGTGAGGCAAGCAAGTATTTCTATGGAAAGCAAGGTTATTAGTACCACAGCTGTGAAAAAACTAGTAATTCATGAACCACATAGTGCACATCCCCACCACCACTACTCACAAAACTAATCTTCTTAGATACTTTGACCTGAATGACGATGACCCCAAGGATGTAGTCAGAGAAGCTGGAGGTATCACAGATACTAAAGGTGTAGGGACCTAGGATGTTAAAAAAGAACACAGTGTGATCTTTCAATCCATGCAGTAACCCTTCTAGCCTGCCACTCAAAATAAACAGCACCATCAAAATGAGAATTAAAAAGCCACGCTCTCCCTAGCTCAAGACACTGGAGGCCTCTGCCAGGATCTCTCTCTACTCACACATGAGAATGCATCTCCTTCGGCCCCAGATCTAGCTCATCCTGCACAGAGACCCTATAACTAAATGCCACTCTGGAGAAACAAAGAAGCCCTACATCACAAGTATTCCTTCTCTAGGAAGTGTCAGATAAGCATATTTCTTCAGCTACAGTTCAGTGAGCTTCCTAAATCTGTGACTTAAGTTTTCATCAGACATGTTAATTTTTTTGGACATTATGTCTTCAAAAACTTTTCTGGACCTATTCTATCCTTAGCAATCCATCAAACCTTTATTCTTAGTATTCCATCAAACTTGCTATTTTTCACCCATAAGCACTTTACTTTAGCTCTTTTTTGAGTAACTTGAACAGCTCATTATTTCCTAGAGCTTCTTGGACCATAAGGAATTATTTCAATATTTATTTCAATGTTCTTTTCTACCAACCTTAAAAACCAGATAAGATTACCAGATTAAGATACTTAAAATATGAAACATTAAAAGGTGTTACCCAATATCCAAAATACAATTAAGAGGTAAGAGGATAAAAAGGAGTGAGCAACCGAGTTGTAGAAGATAAAGTGGCTTAAGGTACCTATAATTGACATCCTGGAAAGAGGTGACAGGTGTGGGGGAAAGGGGGAGTTACAACACAGTATTTTAAAAAAAGTAATCCAAATGTATTAAACTATAAATATATGAAATACATAAATTGGAAAGTCACAAACAAAGGCACACAAGGAAAACGTACAAAGGTTCATCATAATCATATCATTTAAAATCAGTGATAGAGAAAATAAGCACTTTACATTTAGGTGAATAAAAACAAGATGTCTAAATTATCCCAAAAATATGCAAAGAAAACACAATTTCAGACACAAAAATGTTGACAGAATATTCACCAGCAGACTCACACTTGGAAAAATGTAAAAGGTCATCTTTCGGGCAGAAATCTGGGTAACAAACCAAAAGAGAGCCCGCATAGCCAAGTCAATTCTAAGCAAAAAGAACAAAGCGGGGGGCATCACACTACCGGACTTCAAACTATACTACAA